AAAAATTAGTGTGTTTTATAGTTAATTTTTTTATAATTTAAATAGTTTTATTCGTTCAATTAATTAAAATTATTAACTACAAACACCAAACCTCTCTAGTATATATGCCCTTTAGTAATTTTTTTCATTTTTAATCTTTAGTTTTGGTTATTACAAATTTAACAATTTTAGATTGAAATAATTTTTTTTAACAAATTGAAAACATTTCCATTTTTTATTAAGTTTGAAAACTTGAACCTTGTTAGTAGTTATTAATTTTAATTTTCAAATATTGATTTTATTTATTTGAATTTTGAAAACCAAGTCCAAATGTCCCACAACTTATGCGCATCCACCAATATTAGACGAAAAAAATTGAATTTAGCCTACAGAGTCTTAAGCCTTGATTTGGTGGTTAAGTTATGATAGGATAAACTCTTGGTATATGATTTTTTTTTTTTTAATGTTGGTTGCACAATAGGAAGCAATTTTATTTTATTTTTTATCTCACTTTTTCCGTATAATATGTGGCTCAAACTCAAAATCTTTTATTTTCAACGAAAATAAATTATCATTAAATTATTTAAATCATCACTGGATTATTTAGATTATTGACACTCTTAGTATATGTTAGTTGGTATAACCTTATGTTGGTTGTATTAGTTAAATGTTAATTTTAATTTTTAAATTTTAATATTTTTACTTTTTCATCCCTATCCATGTGGGTAAGAGCCCTCACAGCCCACGCAATTATAAGAGGCATGCTCTACCAGTGAGCTAATAACTCGTCACGCAAGCCTCCTGTTGGGGGCCCGCTACACCAAAAGCGAGAAAAACCCCATCTAACTCTTATTAGATATGTAGAAAAAAAAGGTATTGTTCTCTAAACTAATTTAAGAACTTTTTTTTAGTCCCTTAATATAGATTTTTTATGATCAACTCAAGCTAAATTAGTGTAAGGACAAAACGTACAAAGTTTAAATTTTGTGTACCAAAGTTAGCATTTAACCTTTATATTTTGGTTTAGTATATCTTAATTAGCCAATACGTACCACAATATAATATGAATTGTAAGTATACTCTCTCTCTTTTTTTTTACTTGTTTTAGTTTGACCATATGTGTATTTTTAAGTATTTTTTAATATATAAATAAAAATTAAAATTTCTTTTGAT